TCTGAGCAATAGAGGCCGGACCTTAAATCGGATGCTCAATATAAGTATCGGGGCAATAGAGGTCGGACCTTAAACCGGATGCTCCATATAAGTATCTGGCAATAGAGGTCGGACCTTAAACTGGATGCTCCATATAAGTATCTGGGTAATAGAGGCCGGACCTTAAACCGGATGCTCTATAAAAGTACCAATATAGCTGCTGAAAGAGTCCTAATCGATCCAAGTTCATAAATGTCTGTGAAACGTCGTCCACACTTAACCAATCAATGTAAGTCCTTGGAACCGAATCGAAAATCAAATTCAAATCGCGAAGTAGAACTAGTGTCGCGCGAAGTAGAACTAGTGTCGCCGATGTAACTCGTGAAACCGTAACATCGGGGAAAATAAGGATAACTATAGTCGGAGAAAGAGTATCGCCTAACTAAGGCCTAAACTATCAGACTCAAGTCTGCTACACCAGTCTACAGGGATCTAAGCCGGCCGAGCGACGTCGAAGCAAAACTAAGGCCTATTGGATCCGAATAATGTATTTCTGAGGCAAACCCTAGTCAAACCTAAACTAAGGTCCAACATTCTTCGAATAAACAATAATTAAGCATGCAAGCACTCCACATAGCGAGGAGGGTCCATTAATAACACAAAGCATGCTCACAGTTACCCGATAATTCTCGAAATAGGCCGAAAACATGATTTCTAATCACCTATGCATGATTCAATAACTACCAACCTAAATCCCAACTAATCAACATGCATTCACACTCTAGAGCTCAATCTAAAAGAGGGAAACCGTAGCCTACCTGTAGGCCGATCACACGCGCTCCAAAATCACTTCTCCGAAACTTTCCCTTTCTAAACAGCCTCGAAATGCTGCCCCACTATCAAAAATAGAGTCACAAGTTATTACGGTCGTTTAGACACCAAAATCACAACAAACGGAGACGGGTCAATTTTGGAGTCAAAACGGGAATCGTGGGACCCGCACCAAACTGTCCGAATTTGACTCCGTCAAGACACCCTAAACAGCACCCCAAACTTGTGTTCCGAAATGAAACACAACTCGGGGCTCAAAACGCAGCAAAACTCAACAAGCAAGAAAACCACACTTTAATCAACTTAAAAGAAAATATTGCAGCAGTCTAAACTCGAAATCTACAAGGATCTAATGGTGCCTAGCACTCTTTGAACACTCTACAACGAAGCCAAGACAATTTCCAACACGTAGGACTTCGAATCACCCAAAATCGAGCTAATATGAGTGAGATATGACCAAAACAAGGATGCCAAAAACAAAAACTCGAAAAAGGGTACAACAGTCAGGTTTATCGCAAAATTTACCTCGAACTACACACACCTGACAACTTCTGAACACTCTACAACGAAGCCACCAAAAATACGAAGCTCCCACACTTTGAATCGCCTAATTCGGATGAAAGATGAGAGAGTTATGAGGATTTAAGGTTTGAAAAATGTTGCTATTTCTGCATTTATAGCAAATTTTCTGCAATAACTTTCCAAAAACTAAAAACTCCGACGGGGTGCTCCGATCTCGTTCGAAACCCCGTGCACGCAAACGAGATATGCAACCCTACTAAATTTGATATTCCAAACTCAATGACACAGTCAAAATTTCCATACGAGGTCATCTTGACAAAAAGTGGGTCCCACACCCAAATGTCATTTTAAATCAAAAACCACAAAAGAGCTCCGAAAAATATCAAAAACCTCGAGACACAAAAGAAAGGTCAATCTAGACCAAAATTGATATTTTGGAGCTAACCGCACTGACGGAATTCTAATCCGAGCGCGTTTACTCAGAATGTTGACCAAAGTCAAACTTAAGCCAAATTTCAAAGGCTAAAACGCCTAATCGCACCGACTCACACTGAAAACCTCGGGAGTCATGCCGATCATGAAACTAATCTAAAATGACCTTTCCGAAGCTGATGGAATCGTCAGAATTGGATTCCGATGTCATCTTCTTGAACTTTTGATCGAAAATGATCGTTCAAGGTTCATAAGCTCCAAAACACAAAAACTCACACCAAGACCAAACGAACGACCAGGTGACCGAACTGTCAGTCCCAGCAAGTCATAAATGACTTGGGGTCGCTATAGGAACGCTCTAAACGACACACAGAAGGCAAGACACAGAAATGACCATGAGGGTCATTACAATATCCACTACTAAAAAGGACTTTCGTCCCATTACTAAAAAGGATTTTTGTCCGCGAAAGAAAGGATCAAGAAGTACCTGAAGGCTCAAACAAGCCGGGAAACTACTCTCGCATCTCCTGCTTGGTCTCCCAGGTAGCCTCCTCGACTGGACGATGCCTCCAACAGACCTTAACAACAGGAATGGCTCTCGAGCGAAAACTCCTCACATCTTTGGCTAGAATGGCGACTGGCTCATCTACAAATGTCAAACGATCATCCAACTCGACTGCATCATATTGGAGCACATGGGACTCATCACGAACATACCGTCGCAACATCGAGACATGGAAAACTGGGTGGATGGCTAAAAATGCTGGAGGTAGGGCCAACTTATAAGCAATCTCCCTAACTGTCCGGAGTATCTCAAAAGTCCCAATGTATCTGGGGCTAAGCTTGCACCGCCTCCCAAATCTCATCACGCCCTTCATGGGCGACACACGGAGGAATACCCGGTCGCCAACTACAAACCTCAACGGTCGACGCCTATGGTCCGCATAACTCTGATGTCTACTCTGAGCCGTCCTGAGCCTATCCTGAATCACCCTCACCTGATCCAAGGACTCCTGAAGCAAGTCTGTACCACGCGGTCGAGGCTCTGTAGACTCAAACCAACCAACTGGAGAGCGACAACGCTTACCATATAAGGCTTCAAATGGGGCCATCTGAATACTAGAGTGGTAACTATTGTTGTACGCAAACTCCGCCAAAGGCAAGAACTGGTCCCACTGACCTCCAAAATCCATAACACAAGCCCGCAACATATCCTCAAGGACCTGAATAGTACGCTCCGACTGGCCATCCGTCTGTGGGTGAAAAGCTATGCTAAGGTGGACACGGGTGCCCAACTCCTCCTGAAAAGCCCTCTAAAAGCTAGAAGTGAATTGTGAACCCCGGTCTGAAATGATAGAAATAGGCACGCCATGAAGACGGACCACATCTCTAATGTAGATACGAGCCAACCTCTCGGCACTGAAAGTAGTATGAACAGGAAGGAAGTGTGCTGATTTGGTCAATCGATCCACGATGACCCAAATACTGTCAACACCCCTAGAAGTCCGAGGCAATCTCACAATGAAGTCCATAGTGATACACTCCCACTTCCACTCCGGAATGAGAAATCTCTGGAACTCGCCACCAGGCCTCAAATGCTCGGCCTTCACCTGCTGGCAGCACAAACAAAGGGATACGTAGTCGGCAATATCTCTCCTTATGCCACTCCACCGGTAATGCTGCCGCAAATCACGATACATCTTTGCTGTGCCCGGATGGATAGATATCTAGACTCATGGGCCTCGCTTAAGATCAGCTGAATCAAACCCCCAGCTCTCGAAACACACAACTAGCCGTCGACTTTCAGAACCCTATCCGAATCTAAGGTAGCCTGTCTAGCATCACCTTCCAATACCCTATCTCTGAGTGCCACCAAAGACTCATCCTCAAACTGACAACCACAGATCCGATCTAGCATAGACGACTGAACTCCCACATAGGCTAATACCCGTCTGAAATCTGAAATATCAAGTCTGATCATCCGGTTAGCTAAGGACTGGATGTCCAAAGCCAACAGTTGCTCCGAAACAGAAATGAAGGCTAGACTACCCATACTCACCGCCTTCCGGCTAAAGGCATCCGCTATCATATTCGCCTTGCCTGGATGATAGAGAATAAAGAGGTCGTAGTCCTTTAGGATCTCAATCCAACGACGCTGCCTCGAATTAAGGTCCCTCTGGCTCATGATGTACCGAAGACTCCTATGATCGGTATAGATCTCACATCGAACTCCATACAAGTTGTACCTCCAAATCTTAAGCGCAAAAACTACTGCCGCCAACTCCAAGTCATGAGTGGGGTAGTTGCGCTCATGGATCTTAAGCTGCCTCGACGCAGAAGCAATAACCCGACCCTGCTGCATCAATACACAACCCAAACCAACGCCGAATGCGTCACCAAAACTCTCGAATGGTACTATAGATGTCGGATTACCAACACATTTATTCAACAAAGAGACATGGAAAACCAGATGTACCAATGCTAATTCATTAGGAAACTATACCTCATAAGCAACTTTACTAATGCACCTCAAAATCTAATATGGGCCCACATAACGGAGACTAAGCGTCCCTTTCTTTCTAAATCTCATTACACCCTTCATGGGTGAAATTTTAAAGTAGACCAATCATCAACATCAAATCCTAGATCTTTCCTTCTAACATCGGCATATGATTTTCGTCAACTTTGAGCCATTTTCAACCTTTCACTAATAAGTCAAATGTTCTCCATAGCCTCATGTACCGATTTAGGACCTATCAAATCAATCTATAGGGGATCTACACCTCCTACCATAAATAGCCTCAAATGGATCATTCCGACGCTTGAATGATAGCTATTCTTATAAGCAAACTCAATCTAAAGCAAATGATCATCCCAATTACCCTCAAAGTCAATCACACAAGCTCTAAAAATATCTTCCACAATTTGGATAGTATGCTCTGCTTGTCCATTAGTTTGAGGATGAAAGGCCGTACTAAACTTGACACGAGTACCAAGCCCTTTTTTGAAATACTTCTAAAATTGAGAATTAAATTGGGTACCACATTAGAGATAATGGATAACGGCACTCCATGCAACCTAACCATCTCTCTCAGATAGAACTTAGCATAGTCTTCTGCCGAATACAAAACCTTGACGGGATTGAAATGAGGCGACTTTGTCATATGATCCATAATACCCCAAATCGATTCATGTTGTCATCGGGTGCGGGGTAAACCAACAATAAAGTCCATATTCAAATCTTTCAACTTCCAAGTAGGAATATGAATATCTTGGTACAAACGTCCCAACTTTTGATTCTCTTCTTTAACTTGTTGACAATTAGGACACTTAGCCACAAATTCCTTAATAGCCTTCTTCATCCAATTCTACCAATATACCTCTCGCAAGTCACAGTACATCTTGGTGGCTCCCAGGTGAATGGAATATCGGGAACTATGGGCTTCTGATAAAATTTTCTCTCTCAAATCATCAACATTGGGAACACACAAATGACCTTGATACCGAAGCACACCATCTCCCAATTGGGAGAAAGTCTCAAAGGAGTTTTTAAGCACCGCCACCTTTAGTTCAACCAAAATCAGATCAAGACATTGCTTGGCTTCCACATCTAACACAAAGGACAATTCTGTACCATTATGAACAATAACACCACCTTCATTAGAATCAAACAACCGAACACCCAATCGGGTCAATTTATGAACATCACCAACCAACTCCTTTTTATCTTCCTGAACTTGAGCAACACTACCCATGAATAGTTGACTTAGAGCAACCCCCACCACATTCGCCTTACCGAGGTGATAGAGAACACTTATGGCATAATCCTTTAGTAACTCAAGCCACCTCCTTTGGCGAAGATTTAGATCCTTTTGTTTGAACACATATTCCAATCTTTTGTGGTTGGTAAATACATCAACATGAACACCATACAAATAATGCCTCCAAATTTGTAGGGAAAAAATAACCACTGCTAGCTCCAAATCATGGGTAGGATAGTTCTTTTCATCAAACTTAAGTTGCCTTGAAGCATAAGCAGTAGCCTTACCATTTTGCATAAGAACACACCCTAACCTTATCCTCAAAGAATCATAATAAATAACAAACCCATCGGACCCTACCGGTAAAGTCAACACCGGAGAATAGGTAAGTCTATCTTTCAATTCTCGGAAACTCTTGTCACACGCCTACGACCATAAGAACTTAACTTTCTTTTGGGATAAAGTCTTCAATGGAGATGCAATTGAAGAAAACCTTTCCACAAACCTTCTATAATAACAAATACCCAAAAAACTTCTAATATCCGTAGGGAATAGAGGTCTAGGACAAATCTTACCTATATCCGTCTCCTTAAGATCTACCTCAATAACCTTACCGGGAACTATGTGCCCAAGAAAAGCCAAAAATTTCAACCAAAACTTGCACTTACTAAACTTTGCAAATAGTTATTGTTCCTTGAGGACTTACAGCACAATCATCAAATGATCAACATGCTCACCCTCACTCCTTGAGTAGATTAAGATGTCATCGATAAACACAATCACGAACATGTCTAGATATTTTCTAAACACTTTATTCATCAAGTCCATGAATGGCCGAATCATTAGTTAAACAAAATTACATCAGCAAAAACTCATAATGACCATACCGAGTCTAAAAAGACATCTTCACAAATATTTTTTCACCCTCAATTAGTGATAACCTCACTGGAGATCGATCTTAGAGAAGTAACTCGCTCATTGGAGTTGATCAAACAAATCATCTATCCTTGAAAGTGGATACTTATTCTTGATGGTAACCTTGTTCAATTTTTTAGTACTGAATATACATGCGAAGTGAACCATCCTTCTTACGAACAAACAAAACTAGAGCACCCCATGAAGATACTCGGCCGGATGAAAACCTTATCCAATAAAACCTTCAATTTATCTTTCAATTCCTTATATTTTGCCAGAGCTATACGGTAAGGAGGAATATCAATAGGTGTTGTATTTGTGAGAAGGTCAATACCGATATTTATTTACCTTTCAGGAGGAAAACTGAGTAGATATTTGGGAAACACATGAGGAAACTCATTGATATTGGGGACCAACTCACGAGTAGGGTTTCCAGAATTTGTATCCCTAACCTGAACAAGATGATATATGCAACCCTTATAGATAATTTTTCTAGATATAAGACAAGAAATAAATTGACCCTTAGGCATATAATTTTCACCTTTCTACTCTAGGACAAATTCATTTGGAAACTGAAACTTCAAAATTCGGGTTCTACAACCAACAAAAGCATAACAAGAATGAAGCCAATCCATACCAAGAATAACACCAAAATCTAACATATCAAGCTCTACTAGACCAACATGAATGACTCTATGGGATAAGGAGACGGGCCAATTTCTATGGACTCTTTTAGCCACAATAAATTCACTAATAGGTATAGAGACCAAAAATAGGTCTAACACCACATTAAGAAGAACATCAAACCTCATGGTCCAATTTTCCGATCCAATTTCAATTGTTTAAGTTTAAGTTAGTTTTAATTAAATCTTTATGAGTTTCATTCAATTGTGATTGATTACTGTTAATTATGTCTTCCAATGCATGATTCAATGTTAATACATGTTATTTAGTTGAAATTATGTTGACCTATGCCTATATTATGACTTTCAACTATGAACCTATGATGAACTCATGAGTCTATCAATTATGAATTTATGATGATATGCATGTTGTTTTTATGAAATTGTTGTAAATTTTTTGGGATGCTTTGAAAGAAAAGTATCAAGGTTATTGTGAAAGGTTTTCTCAAGAGTTATTATGATCATGATTATGAAAATTTCTCACAGATGGATCCACCGTGGTGAAAGGTTTTCTCATCTATGTTTAATTATGTTTAAGGAGCTATTCTGTATTTAGATCTCAAAAACTGTTGATTGGTGTTGATCATTGCCTTTTCTATGTTAAATTGATATTTGAACTTTTATCTATTTGTTGGGATATAGATTTAGCACCGAGAAGGCTCTGAGGTGGAGGCTCTAATAGGGTAGTTTGTAGTAGAAACCTCTAGTCCCTAACTACATGCCCTTGTAGGATTGTCTTAAATGAGATAGCTA